TCAATCACCTGACCTGAATCCGATTGAGCATGCATTTCACTTGCTGAAGACAAAACTGAAGGGAAAATGCCCCAAGAACAAGCAGGAACTGAAGACAGTTGCAGTAGAGGCCTGGCAGAGCATCACCAGGGATGAAACCCAGCGTCTGGTGATGTCTATGCGTTCCAGACTTCGGGCTGTAATTGACTGCAAAGGATTTATTTAAGTATTAAAAAGTGAAAGTTTGATTTATGATTATTATTCTGTCCCATTACTTTTGGTCCCTTAACAAGTGGGAGGCACATATGCAAACTGTTGTAATTCCTACACCGTTCACCTGATTTGGATGTAAATACCAAATTAAAGCTGACAGTCTGCAGTTAAAGCACATCTTGTTCGTTTCATTTGAAATCCATTGTGGTGGTGTATAGAGCCAAAAATGTTAGAATTGTGTCGATGTCCCAATATTTATGGACCTGACTGTATATAAAGCTGTACACATACTAGTAATCAAAGGCTGTGAAGGAGAAAACCATTCCAACATTTTAACTAAAGTTTTGAATCAGTTAGATTAAGCTTATAAACTGCAGTCAGACATTTACTTAATAAAATCAACACACACTTTACTTTTGTCTGAGCCTCTTTCTGCAAGTGGTTTTCAGGGTAGAACGTAATATCAATCTAAATAGTGGCTACTCCACTATATGAAGCACTGGGGATATTGGTACTATTTTGACGTGCTATAGTATTGCTAGTGTGTGATGTATGTTTCTAGTGAATGTACTAGCAAAGTTAACATGAACTCAAAATGATGACTACAAAAAGACACTGGGAGAATCCCATTCCTGCTGCAAAGCGGGAACTAAATCTTTCTATTTGTCTCCCAAAGCCAAAAGTTTCCATAACCAGTTAGGAAGGTTCATTTTTAGTAGACATCCATCTACTCTCCCACGGTGGTAAATGCTGTTGATGATGATCATTGTGATGTTTATCATAGCCGCTATTTTGACTGTAGTTTGGATATAAAGTCTACAAAGTTCGATTTGATACAGTTCTATTTAGATTGTGCTTTTAACAATAGAAATTGTCACAAAGCAGCTTTACAGAAATCCAGATGGACATTTTGATTTAGAGCTAGAACTCTAATGAGCAATCCAGTGGTGAGACTAGTAATGAATAACTCCCTGAAATGACACATGAAAGGAAACTTTAGAGGAACCAGACTTAAAAAGGAACCCATCCTCTTCTGGATGACATCAGAGAGTGAAATTATAAGTTATTACTCTTCCACAATTATACAGTGTACTGTGTACTAAAACAGTACAGAGTGAGTTGAAAGGAGCATCGGGGACTACAGCAAGTGAAGTTATCCAGTGAAAAGTGAGTGAGATTTGGGCATATACTGTTTTTAGTAAGTGGAATCTATAAGGTATCCATGTGGGACCATCCATGGTATGGTATCCATGTAGGATCAGAGGTACCACTGCTATGCCAGACTGCAATAGATGCAATGGAGATTGTTGTTTAAACATTTCACACTTGAAAATAATTAATTGAATTTAACTCTCATTGTATTTGTACATCTATACACACAGTGGGCTCCAAAGGCCAGAGACCTCTAATGAAAATGCTTCTATTTTGCATTCTTTACTAAATTAATACAACAATTTTCATTACAAATTATGTTTAAGACAACAACTTGAGTAAAAAGTAGAATCTTGGAAATATTTACATGAATTTCAGAGTTTCTTAATGACAGTGTGCATTCGAGCTGGCATGGACTCCACAAGTTTGTGCCAAACCTTATGATCCATTTTAGGTCTAATCTATTGGAATGTCTTCTGAACACATGCTTCAACAGAAGAGACTGAGGAAATAGAGGAAAATCTGACCTTTTGTATAAAGCAGTTAACATGGTCAATATCACAAAATTGCTTACATTTATATAGGGAGCTAGAAATAGTGCAGAATTGTGAATATTAATTATTCAAGATATTGAACATTTTAAACATTTCAAAATTCTAAAACCTTCTGTTTATTTCCAATTTTAAATGAAAAAAAAAAAAAAAATCCCAGATTTTCAGTGTGGTCTAACTTTTGGACCCCACTGTATTTATCTGTACAATTATACTAAAAATGCATTTTTGCATATTGCAATTTGAAAGGAATTGTTAGTGCCAGAATACCAGGTGTCAGGATCAGTCATAAAGGTGAAGGGTCAAACAGTGGCTCCTGGCAGTCTTGTGGATTGAATTCAAAACCTTCTGGTCACTAACACAGAAATTTAACCATTGAGCTGTATTGGATAGCATTGCCTCTCAATGTTGGTGTGATCTTGGTGTGAAACCTAAACAAATAATAAGGATTCCTTTCCTCTAATGAGCTCTACTATCTCTGCTTCCTCTGCACATTCTAAAACTGACCCAAAGTCACACTCCTTTCTCACTGCAGATAGGCACTGAATAGATAATGATGACTGTCACAATTATCAATCATGCTATGGCTTGACTGCTCTGACTGCACTCTGTAGTCTTGTGTTACTCTGAAAGAGTTGCTTTTGATTGAATATGGTGTTGGTGTTATTATATCCCACTCTTGAGTTAAAAAGTGGTAATCTTTCAGTTGGTAAGATGAGATTTTCACACATCTCACTGCAGATATTTTTTATGCTTTAACAATTTAATGTCCCCACAAACCAAATTTTCATATTTGAAATTAGAGTGAATAGATCTGAAGTTCATTATTCCTGTTCATTCATTATGAAGAGATTGATCACAAGTGAAAATAATGGAGATCCTAGAGTCCTAGAGAAAACATGCTGAGCAAAGTGTGCTTCAGTGACTTCTTACTCTTTCACTACATTTTGAAATAACAATGTAACCTTTCACTCCATTACTTTTTCTTTAACAAGTTCTCCCATTTAGTAATCCCAGGTCATATGACAGATTTTCCACTAGGAGTGTGTCAAACCTGTTTTTTCCATTTTTTGATACAATATTGATACTCATCCATCCCTGGATGACTAGTGGTTAGGCCACAGCGCTCTCACCCCCGTGGCCCGGGTTCGATTCCCAGCCGGGGAACCGACCCCAGTGCATTAGAGTGTACTCCCAGTACTGGTCCCAAGCCCGCATAAAATTGAGGAGGGTTGTGTCAAGAAGGGCATCTGGTGTAAAAACTGTGCCCAATCAAATATGTGGACCAATGATCTGCTGTGGCAACCCCTAACAGGAGCAGCCAAAAGAACAACAACAATAAACACACATCTGATACTGGCCTCCTCACAAAAACACAGCTGAGCAAGTTTCTGTTATGTGAATGTTGCAATGGCTCCAAGACAAGTCATACCGATGTGCAAGATCTTGGTGGTGTATACATATCATATGTACACAACATTAAGAACAACAGGGATGGGGTTGGAAAATATGTGATCTGACCTTATACCAATTTCAGACCAGACTCTGATACCTATACTGAGTATCACTCCTTGATGGGCCACATGTTATCAACAAATAACTTGATAAAGCATTTTGCAAAAATATATTTTGCCTTTTGATACTCGTACACAACAAACAGTAAAAACGTTCATAGTGACCATGATCCTAATTATTAGAGTGATTTCTTTAAATGTAAAATCTAGAGCAGGGGTCATCAGAAGGGGGCAATGTATTTGACTGGACCAAACTGAGCACATAAAAAAATGTAGCACAGATGATCAACATCTGAAAAACTGCCCATAGATCAGCACCTTTACTTTTCTTTAGTTTTCTTTTTTAGTATATTCTATGTTGTGGCTTACCCAATCACATGCAATTATGTATTTAGCTCACAGGTTCCCAACCCTGGTCCTGCGGCATCCCCTGTCCTTCACATTTAAGTGATTTTCCCTACTCTAACACACCCACTTCAACTAAGGAAGCTGATTAGTTGAATCAGGTGTGTTGGTAGCAGGGAAGACATTAAAATACGCAGCGCAGGGGGCCAGGTCCAGTGTTGGGAACTTGTGATTTAGCTGAAGGCAGCTCATAGGGACCACAGACTAGCTACAGTGCTATAGACATTAAGTCAGAAAATTAAGACATTAACTGCTATAGGCATTAAGTCAGAAGAGTTTTCGCAGACTGTGATAGATTTTAAATTTTGTTTACCGTCTCTGGTCTGATAAGAGAACCAATGACATGGCTTGATTAAAAACAAAGTCGATCACAAAATCATAGTGTAAAGACAGTGGTAGCTCAGTGTTTAAGGCATTGGACTACTGATTGGACGGTTGTGAGTTCAAGCCCAAGCACTGACAATCCTCCCCTGTTGAGCCCTCAGGCAAGGTCCTTAACCTTCAGCTGCTCAGTTGTATAAATGTAATGTCCTTTCACTTCTGTAAGTTACACTGGATCAGGGTGTCTGCTAAATGCTTTAAATGTAAGAACAACTGGACAGAGAAGTATGTGTTTATTGTCCCTGTGTCAAATTCAAAATTGTCTCATCTGTTCAGAGTCCATGGCACTAGTTAAAAGTGGTAACGTGACGCAGCACTATGAAACAAAATATATCCACTTTAAATTTCTGAATGATGTTAATTAATCATTAAAGATTATGCATTAAAGCGTAACTGTTGTTTCCCTCCAGTCTTTCTAAGAATAAGAGACTTCATACAACTGGATCTTCACAAATTTTAGTTAAATACTCCTTATCTAGAGTGTTATACCAGTGGACAGTTTCCTAATGTGGGAGTGAAGCAGCTGGAAGCCAGGCAGTGATCACGTGACCATTGATGTGAGGAATGTGTATATATACTGATATGACTCAAGCACACACTGAACATGTACAGTAAGACACTACTCAAATGATAAATACCGAGTTGTCGATTTGTTAAAGATTAAAGATCTAGGCAAGATCTAGCCTACATGAATATATATACTGTAGATCCTGAGAAAGCCATCAAACACATGAAATCAGACCAGTGGTTACAAGGAGGCTGAGAGAAACCTAAACAGCTGCTGCAGATGTTTTTGCTGGTTTTCCATGTACAGTTCTGCTGTTTCTGTCCACAGGATACTCATTTAGGTCAAAGTCATTATGATGATATTCTGGCTATATATATAACCTACTATTTCCAGATGACCAGCTCTAAATTCTCTAAAGGACACTCTTATAATGGAGTAATGTAATAAATATGGCGAATCTGAGGCATGTCGGGCTCCACTTTTTCCAAAAAAAAGAGTCTAACTTCAGAAGGCGCCATGAATCGATCAATTCTTTACGACAGCAAGATGAAAGGCGAGAATAGACAGACAGGCTTACCTCTGTTTCAGTACCGTGTTTAACCCTTTACATCCACATCACAGCAGGCTTACCTCTGTTTCAGTAACGTGTTTAACCCTTTACATCCACATCACAGCAGGCTTACCTCTGTTTCAGTA